TGGTGACAAGTGTCGCATTTTGATAAAATTAATAACATTTTAAGACATTTGTCATTATTTCAGAAGGATAAATAAAAATAAAAATAGGAAGATATTTAATTTCTTTTTTATTTAATAGATCAAAGTTAGTTTTTTATTTGATGATGAATAAAAAAATATTGTTTAGATAATTATTTATGGAGTCATATATTTTGCAGGAAATGTTGTTAAATTAAACATATGAAATAGAAACTACTTGAAAATCTATTCAAAATATGGAGTTTAGATTGTAAAGAAGATATGTTTCTAAATATGTTGCTTGCATAAAAGATATTGTTGAATGTATTGATTATGTATAGTAGCATCTCTGGAAAAAAGTTTTTCGAAATTAATATTGTTGAAATTACATCTCCGAATCATGAGTGAAGAAAAATTGAATTTGTTTGTAATTTGAAGTGTTGAAAAATTGTTCCTAGCTTGTCTTGACTATAAAAAGTAATTGATATTTATGTTTCAAAGAATACAAAAAGACGTCGTTTTAGCTGATTTTAGAAGTTTTATTTTTATTATTGTGGATTTCATTTAATTAAAAATCTATTGCTCTTTTCTTTTATAAATTTGTTATATATGTGTATGGTGCATTGTGCAATACAAACAAATGAACATTATTTTATTTTTATTTTTTATCTCACCGTGAGCCTAAAATCAATAGAGATCCGCCATGTAAATAAGCATTGCATACATAAACATTGTGTACCAACATTTTGTTTATGCGAAACCATAATGTGAAACCACTTAAATTAATTTATAATAAAAAAAACAAAAACAAACAAATAAACATTAAAAAAAATAGTTGAATCTCGTACATAAATAACACCAAAGAATTAGAACATTGACATCTTTTCGAAAGCTCAAGCTCAAATATAAATAGTAGGCCATATTTCTTATTTTTTGTTTGCTTCCTTTTCAGCCTGCAAACCAAACAACAAGTTATAATAAATAAAAAAGTAAATTTATTCAAAAACTTATCTACGATATTTTACAGATGGCAAATTCTAATCGGACTCTTATGCATTGGCAAGTAACAAACGTTTCATTTTCCCATCCGTATCCGGATTTTAATTTTTGATGATGAAACTTTTGTTGAATGTCTATGATTATGTTATAATGATAGATGAAGATCAAGAAGGAATGTGTGGTTATGATTTTACCGCTTTGACTACACGATCAAATGCTTCAGGGCCATACTTCTCAATATAACGCTCGACAGACTTCCTTGCATCGAGACTCATCATTTGCAGGACTTTCCGCTGTCCCTCGGGGTATTTTGAGCTCACATGGCTCCCAACCTTGACGTATTTTCTAGCTATATTCGCATATATGTATGCTGCCCCGTTGATTCCAGGTAGCACCAACCACATACAAAACAACAGCTTCAAGTAGGGCCAAAATGGAAGCCTGTTTATTTCCAAAGTTATCAAATTTCAAGTGAATATGAAGCCATACGTAACTTCAAGAAGCATTGAAATTGAATAAATTACCATTGGAGGACTTTCCAAAATGAAAGCTCGAAGAGGGTTATGAACGAATATAAAACCCAATAAGTGAGCCATTGTTGATCATCTTCTGGTGTAGAGCTTTCGAGCGCTAGCATGGATGCATACCTTTTCATAAATTTGTACAATCATAATCATTAGTTCCACATCAAGATAACCATTTTTTTAAAGACCAGATGATTTCGTGTAACATATGTAAAATGCTAACTTACAAGGGGTAAAGAAGCATTACTCCAGGCCTGAATCAAATTATCAAAATCAAAACAAGTTAGTTAAATGATGGTTAGATTTTTCATATTGTTGGAATACAACTCCAAATACATACCCGACTAGCGTGTCCAGATGTCTAGCGATTGTTGCAAGAAGCCCCATTGTTTTTCGTGTTTTCAATGACGTTAACTGGTTTTTGAATTGAAAGAATAAATCATATGCATGATGAATTGTGTATCTTGATGGTTATATAAGTAAGTAGTTCGAATGTCTAAGATGAAGCAAAGCAAAGGATATCTTTTTGGTATAATCTTCTTTTCTTTAGTGAGAAGCAAGAAGGTGGGTGGTGAATCGTAGCCTTGGAATCCCTCCATATTATTCTAAAAGAAAGTTTAAAAAGAATGAACATGAGAGTATGCTCGTTGATACCAAAAATGAGGAATATTACTTCTTGCTATTTAGTTATTCAAAATACGTAGTAGAGGTGTCAATCCTAGGGATCGAAATATGGGTTTGGGTAAAAAGCAATGGCCGGTTTAATCCAATTTTTTTTTTTTTTTTTTTTTTTGGTTTTCTAAAGAGAAAACTATATTAAAACAATAATATATTTATATACTTATTTAAATTTCATCACAGTTATGAACAGTTTTTATTAAATAATCATATCATTTTCTTCAAGGGAGAGGACACCTGGACACAAGTTTATTTTAAATAATGTACTACTTTCTACCGGATTGTCCATAATTATGGGTTGGTTGAATTTTTGGGCTTAAGTTTTTGTTTATGGACGAGCCCATCAAACACTTTAAGTATTGAAGATGTCACTTGATCTTCACGCCATGTTAAGGACGCCGCCGCCACCAACCACCACATTTGCCGCCATCACCCACCACCTTCACCTCCACCCCACTACCGTTACCATCACCCACTACTACCATCCTTCCATCACCACTATATAGTTTTAAGAGAAAGTAAAATTAAGTAAAAAAAGAAGGGTAATTATATATATATATATATATATATATATATATATATATATATATATATATATATATGGAAAAGTGAATATACATTACAGCCCTACCTAAGCTTAAGTACTAAACCGTATAAAAATACGTTGTTTTACTATATAAAGATTACGATTAGGTTACCACTTGAAGTTGCAGTTTCATAATGTACACAATAGTTTTGATAAGGAAGCAAGAACGTTGATTATCTTCCTCCTTCGTGACGATGGAAAACAATATTGTTCACTAGGGTGAAGTAAAAACGATAATGAAGGAAAAAAAACAATGATGGTAAACGATAATGGAGGGAAGAAATGTTATTAGGGATGATATATTACCAAGTGAAAACCAAATCGAGTATAACTACTAAGTTAAAACAATATATTTTAAAGGTTTAGTACCTAAGCTTAGGTGGGGCTGTAATATATATTCCCTATCCCCATATATATATATATATATATATATATATATATATATATATATATATATATATATATATATATATATATATATATATATATATATCACAAGGACCTTAGCAACAGTATCTTTTTGGATTTAAGGTTTTTGCCACAAATATTTGGTTAATTTGACACTTTTAGTCCCTAAAGTCAAAACTTTTACATTTTTGCGTTTTGATAAAGTTTTGTGCCTTTAAGTTTTTGCCACAAATCTTTAGTGACTTTGACACTTTTAGTCCTTGCAGTAGAAACTTTTACATTTTGGAGTTTTTTCCACAAATCTTTAATGAACTTGACATTTTTCGTCCTTCTACTCAAAACTTTTACATTTTGATATAAAAACACAAAAACCCGCCTTTTGAATTTTGCCACCATATTTTTCAAACTTTTGCAACTTTAACATTATTACCACAACAATTTTCAATTTTCTCCACTAGTGTCCCTTCTTTTTGTTGTACAATTTTGACATCTAATTTTAGGGTTGTTGACTTTCTTCTTATTTGTGGTGATTTACAATTTCAGCACATATCTTTTAAAGTTTGCCGATTTTTCCCATATTACCCAAAAAGTGGCATAGCCGCGAGTTCTTTACTAGTATACATTAAATCACAAGGGCCTTAGCAATAGTAACTTTTTGGGCTTTAGGTTTTTATCACAAATCTTTGGTGCATTTAACACTTTTCGCCCTTAAATTCAAAACTTTTACATTTTTGCGTTTTGACTAAATTGGTTTTTGCCACAAATCTTTAGTGAGTTTGACACTTTTAGTCCTTCCAGTCAAAAGTTTTACATTTTTGATGTTTTTGCCACAAATGTTTAATGAATTTGTCACTTTTCGTCCTTGTACTAAATTTTTTTCATTTTGACATAAAAAAAGAAAAAAAAACTCTTTTTGAATTTTGTCACCATATTTTCCCAATTTTGGCAACTTTAACATTATTGCCACAACATTTTTTAATTTTCTTCAACAGTGTCCATTCTTTTGGTTGTACACTTTTGACATCCAATTTTACGGGCTGTCGACTTTCTCTCCTATTTGTGGTGATTAACAATTTCAGCACATATCTTTTAAAGTTTGCCGATTTTTCCCATATTACCCCAAAATCGGCGTAGTCGCGGGCTCTTTACTAGTTATTACATTATTTCAAGAGTAATCAATATACCAATAATCAAGTCTTTAGGCGCAACTGGTGGAATACATCGCATTAACCTTCGAGCATTACTCATACAATAAATTTCAAATAAATTATGAACAGTAAAAGGTTTCAAGCCGCCGAGCTCAATACCAGGTGGTTTCAAGCCGTCTCGGTTTTGCTTCCCCGCTTCTCTTCTACTTCTTCACCGACTCCTTTTTTTCTTCGTCCACTGCCATCGACTCTTCCTCTCTTTCGTCCTTTTCTCAATCCTTCTCTCTGATTTCAATTCCACCGCATCTGTCTCTCGATCCTTCCGTCTTCCACTCCTCATCTGCCATCCGAGAGTTCGTTTATTGGTGTCGTTCGAGCGTCCCCGAATTTCAGATTCATGAAACGCAGTTATGATCAAGAACATCCCTAATAAATACAGGTTTAATTGACCATTCTTTTTATTAATTGTTTTCTTCAGTACATTTATCTGGACTTCTTTTCTGATGTCACATTAGGAATCATCTTTTACCATAGGGCTCACGAAATCAAACCCAACCCTCAAACCTGCAAAAACCCATGCGGCCTAAACCCTAGAAAATAGCAGAAAGATGGGAGGGAAAGGAAAGAAAAGAAGAGAAAAAAAAAATTACAAAGAAGCGCATGGAGTCGGCAAGAATAGATTACCCCCACCACCGGTTCGTTCAGCCAACTCATGTCATATGCCTAGGTTCTGATCCCCTTTTTTTATCAAGTTATATGCATAAATCCACAAATATAAGCAGTTTTAGCTTTTCGCTCTTTATTCCTTTCCTTTTGAGAAAAAATTGTGTTTTTGGTGCACTTACAATGGCGATTTCAGGGTCTGGAAAGTTAACAGTTGACGTTGAAGAGCATAAGAGAGGCGGCAATGGCTGTGGTGGTGGAAATTTAATAGAAAATGTAAGTAATTCTTATGGTCCGGTTGTTTTTGTTGAGCAATTTCTACAATATTGCATAACTTAGCCTAAAAAACATGGCTTGATTTAAAATTTAATGTTGCAAATTCCAAAAATGGTTACATGTTTTGATTTCCAAAGCCAATATACTTTATTCAGTGGTCCAAAATAGATGTGTTTATTCGAGTTTAATGGAAGTCATGGGCACTTTCGAACAATACTTGATATGAAAATCTTGGAATCATGTTTTTTTTTTTTTTTGAAAGAGACCAAAGCCTAGGCAAAACTGGAATCATGTTTACATGGCTTAATGTGTAATGAATAAGCTATAAGCTATGGGTGTTTAATTTTGACTTAATATAGAAAAAACTGGTTAGTAGAGAAAGAAACCTTCTCTGTAGACTGCTTTTCGTTTTACAAATTTGCCCTCATTCTTAACATCTTTTATCCATATAACATTGCTTGATGCCATTTTTTTATACTAACCCAATAACATGTGCATCGAATTAAAAGTGAACAACTTAGAACATTGGTGGAAGTTATTGGTATTTAATCCTTGTGGGACACAATATTTGTGTTTTTTATTTTATTTATTTATTTATTATTATTATTTTTTTTTTTGGAGAAACTTGGTGCATATGAGAAACCTGATTTTGTGGTTTCTGAGTACAAGATTAAAGATACTGATGTCTTTCTCTTTCCATCATTATTTATCTGAATAATGTAAAATTCAATTCGTTTTGATTACTTTCTATGGATAAATGTAAATTTAGCTACATATTATTGAAGTTATTATTCTATATAAATATGTGATTGGTAATCGGTAAATGTGAGCAAATATAAAAGATATCGTAATTTTGACTCAACTTGATTAATATTTTATTTTTTCCAGGTTAAATAAGTAGTATAAAAAGCTTCATGTTAAAAAAAAATGCACACAATGGAAATAGAGAAACTAAATTGTCTCCTACTTTTTATGCCTACAAATGTTCATACCCAATAAAATTATGACAAGTGTCATCATTCTATATTTTTTTTAACTAACTCATTAAGACTATATTAGGAATATATTAAATACAATTAAATTGAATGGTGATTTGTCATAATATTAATGGGTATGAATAATTGTAGGCATAAAAGGTAGGAGGTAATTTAATTTCTCAAATTTGAAAAACTCCTAAACATATATATTACTATTGTATGAATATGAACATGCAATTCGACTTTATCCGTTCTTGTTGCCATATTAAAATGTTTTTAGAATATGTATTTTGCATAAATAATTGTAGACAAAAACTTTAGATTTAAATATACAGCTATGAGCCAAATTAGGGAATCTTTAGAGTATTTTAAGTTCGTATGAAAGGGGTTTTATAGCCGCAATGTAAAACGTTACGGCGTCGTTCTACATGATGAAGACTGAGGGACAGCTAAGAGCCAAAAACATTGGGAGTGTGGCATGCTTGGAGCCTAACCGATTGGATGAACCATCCTACTGCCGTGTTGCTTTTTGGGCAACCATAGCTAAAAAGTTCTTTAGGTGTTTTACTTGATAATAAATTTGTAACATATATAATTAAATATTAAATTTACAAATACAGTTTTAAAGAGGAAATTGTTTGGGTCTATGATTATAATATGGAGTTAAAACCTATCTCACTAAATAATTTTACTAGGAGAGGGATTGCAAACTAACTATGAATTACTTTAATTTTATATACTTTTTTTAAATTATTATAAAAAATATACACATCTATAATATGAAAAATACTAATTTATCTCTCCTAAAAGAATTGTAACAACTGGTTTAGAATATAATTTAATAAGGCTATTAGATTGTTATTGTATAATTTATTGCGAGACGTTAACTTTTAATACAATGCGATATCGCCTTCAGGTGATTAGAATTGAAAGATAATATTTAAATATACATCAAGCTAGATATTGTCACGAATGTGACCTTCAAGGTGACATTTTCCCTTCAAAATCAAATGTTACTTTTATATATTAATGTAATAAAACTGAGTAATTTAATTACTTACTGATGGATAATAATATAAGATCTACATTAAAACAATTTAGTGTGTGGTTAATATATTTAAGTTAAGCAAAAAATGTTGAGCTTACGACATAAGTCAATCTCTTAAATTCTAACTATTTAAACAAGTTGAGACCTAACTGTATATAGATTGATTACGACGTTTTTGTGTCCATATTTGCCTGTATAAGATATGAATGTAAAATGTCTATTTCATTAGAAACCATATTCAAGAATAATGCACAAATCTGCACATTTTCTTATACTGAATAAAAAAATAAGGATATAACGTACTGATAATAGTAATTTATAATCTAAATCAAACATTATTTAATATTAGGTATTTGTATATGAAGAAAGATAATTATAATCTAAATCAATCATGAACTCTAATACATATGTAGATTTTGAATATCAATTTACATGCATAGCCAAACTAATTGAATAATACTACATGCATCTACCAAAAAATTAAAACAAGATTATTGATCGGAAATAGTAGCAGGAGCTTTTGAATTTATAATGTATCGAGTTTGTACCTTTCAATTAAATAAATACAATGAATATTGAATAATTAACATGAGAGAGAATACACGGTCATATACAAGCGAGTAATATTAACAAGATTTACAACATGATATATATACACATATATATACGCGATCGTGAATCAGATGATGGACGATAAGTTGTAGCCATACTCGTACGTGTTCATGGGCACAAATGGTTCATCGTGGATATATGAAGATTGATCAATGTCTAGGAGCCAAGACTCAAGGTTCTTGAGTTGAATCTCATCCACATAATCCAGGCCATGATCTTGCGGCCACTGTACTCCTAACTCTTCAGTCGAACAATAACTATAATCAGACGCTATATATGTGCTATTTGAATTGGGGTCTAGGCTATCATAGTCATCAATATGGATCACTTGAGTTGGTTCTGATGAAACCACATGCATAGCGGAAGGAGGAGAGAAAGAAGAGACGTTTGATGACAACCCTAAATCTTCAGATGAACAATAACTGTAATCAAACGACATCAACGTGTTATCCAAACTTTGATCGGTGCTAAGATCTAGACTATGATCAGGGCTACCATAGTCATCAATATGGATCACATGAGGTGGTTGTGTTGACACCATAGCCACAGTGGTAGGAGGAGAGAAAGAAGAGATGGATGAAGATGAAGAACCGTTGCCTGTGACCTTTTGAACGAGGGTCTTGAAGTTTGATGAGTGAGTTATGTAAACCTTTGGTTTTAGAACTTTTACACGGCTGTTGAATTGATGGTTTGGTTCTTTTTTGGAGATTTTGAGGGAGGGTCGGATGATAGGTTTGCCCATTGTTAGTATTTTGCTTTGGAAAGATCAAACAAGTGTTGATTATTACGGAGGAATCAAAGAGGTATATGTATTGAGGTGAAATATGAAAGGAGACAAATGTGAAGATATTTAAAAGATGCTTATAATGATGGTTTTTCAACACAAAGGTTTGCAAATAGCATTCAATATTCACTAATTTTGAGTCAAAACCTTTGCCCAACTACTTGGATACCTTTTACCTTTGAAAAAAATATCACAATCATTCCAAAATTAAACTAAAGTATTTTGGTAAACCAAATATAATATCACTGCAATTGAACATGAAGATGCCTCATCCGGATGTTTTGTAAAACTAATCATGATAAATATCAGTTTGATAAAATTGGTATTTGTAGGTAAACGTAAAAAACTGTCAAACTATTAATTATATATCACTTTATCAAGAATTTCAAATTAGTTAATTATGGTTACTAAGTGTAACAACAACTTGTTTAAAAACGCCCATCTAACTCTAAGAATCTCATCATATACTTACACCGGGGGACTTTGTTGTTAAACATAGTAACATACATCGCCTTCTTGTATTGTTCTTGGTAATGAAAAATATGTTTTGTCTATCCCAATTTGCACTTTACAATTATGCAAAAACGAAGGGTTTATTGACATGGAGGTGAAGTACTTAGGGGTATGTCGGTTTGCTTACATTCTCGAGAGGGTATGTCGGTTTGCTTACAATCTCGAGACTACAACAAATGCAACCTTGTCGAGGGAGATTTGTCGGGTGGATAGCCTTAATTGTCGCCTAGAAAGCTTTTGGAGGCGAATAATTGTTTGAATAGTGTTTGCCTTGACAAGAGCATCGGTTATAGGTCTTTTTTGTGGGCGACTTCTTGTCACAGCTATATGTCCTTTTTCTGACATATCATCGCCATAAAGTTGCCGTCAATATTCTTTTATTTTTAAAATTTCTTTTGATAAATAATTATCTCGGACAACTTGTACCATATGTAAGGTTGGAGGGTATTCAACCCTCACAACTCACTTAATCCATTATTTACATCAACTTCACATCAATATTTTTCTCTTTTTTTTTCTATTTTTCTCATCCCACAACAAATGGAAATTCATCTTTCTCATCATTTTCAACTCACTCAATTTGTTTATTTTTAAATAAATCCAAACTAACTAAAAAAGACAAAACTAATTCACAAAATACTAAAAACATACAAAAACTAATTACAAACAAACAAAAGCTAATTAAAAACATACAAAACTATTTTATATAAGTATTTATGCAAGAAGTACAAGTAACCACAACATAGATAAAGTAGAGAGAATATATATATATATATATATATATATATATATATATATATATATATATATATATAGAGAGAGAGAGAGAGAGAGAGAACCACAGGGTTCACTGACCCACTTTTCATCCTAAGCACGATACCTCGCCTTGCTCGGATTCGCCACCTTGGCGATACCACCAGTAGCGTTCGCTATCTGTCGGACCCCGCAACCAGCACTGTCCACCCTAAGCTATTAACAAAAAAAATGGAGAATACTATAATTTGATAGAATTTTCAATATATAATGTATTGATAAGAAAAAAATATAAATACTTTGTTGAAATAGAACGAAATGAAAGTAGGATATTATTTTCCTTATTAAGCCATTTATCAGATAGTTCAAGTCGCAGCATCTTCGACAAAAAATGTAGTCACCGCAACAAGCAAGACAAGAACTAACCATTAAAGTTGAAAGCCATATGGTGATAAGCAACCTAGTACTAAATGTTGAGTAGTGGAGATTGATCTAAATGCGAAGTTTCCCGATCAAAGCTTTGCCCGAGAGCGAGGTTTTATGGAAAAGTTGTTGTTGCAAGCTTCGGCCAAGAGCGAAGTTTAGAAAAATCGAAGCAATAGGCGAATCTTCAAGAGTGAGTCTCAAGAGCGAAATTTCATACAAGAGCCAAAGTGCAAACTCAGTCAATACTCAATAGAACCTCGGTTGATGTTTGAAAAGTGAAGTATTAGGTTATGATTGAGAAGTAAAATTAGAGTCTGACAGCAATGCTAAGCACCAATCCACATCCTCTTCTTCTCTATTCGCACACCAAACTACAACCTTGTTTTTTCTGCTACGATCTCTGGCCTAAGTAGCTTGGGGACTAAGTTTGATATCATGGGTCATATTATGTCTGTGATGTCATAGGCCTATGGGACCAAATAAATTAGGTCAAAACACTTACTATAAATAGATCTCTCACTATGATTGTAACCCCAATGTAGAAAGCATGCATTGAAAATTATTTAATAATCTGTCTCTGGTTCGTTTATGGATGTAGCTTGATCAATTTAATCAGTTGAAGCACGTTAAATACTTATGTTGTTTATTGTTCTTCGCATCTTTATTATCATGTTTGCATTTATCTGATAATATGGGTGAGTACCAAAAGGAGTTTCTGATTATTTTGCTAGGAATAGGATCATATTATGTTGAATACGGTTCCACAAATACCTCATCATAATGGAGTAGCTAAGAGGATAAACATGACGCTGAATAAAAGGGAAAATGGCATGGGAGTACAAACAAGATTGGTGAAGATATTTCAGGCATATGTAGTCAACATTGCAACCAACTTAATCAACTAAGGACCTTCGGTCCCCATAGGGTGCAAGGATGTGGATAGAGACAAGATAGATGCGTATGTAAATAAGTGATTTTCTATCGGATACATTGTGGATGACATGTGGTACCGCTTCTGGGGATAATCACAACGGTTATCTAAAGTCAGAATGTGATATTTAATGAAAATTCTCTTTATAAAGATGATATTAATGCTACATTTAGCCGAAGAAAGAAATACGAAAGCATAGGCCAATTGATATTTGATGGGAATTTTCATAACTGGGCATACATATGTTCGAGCATAAACATCTATCTTCACTTATGAATATAGTTTATTTTCATGTGGTTTTGTGGATAGGTCGTATAATTTGGTTATATGTTGAACCCACCCCATGATCCTAGATAGTTATTTTATGGCTATTTGCAATAAGTATTTCCAGTCGACGACTTGTGTAATGCCCGCAACTTCAGGCTAGACAATTAAAATATAATAAGTGATAATTATTATAAATTAAACCCTTGATCAGGGAGATTTCTAGTCTTGCACGTTGCAGACTACATATTATAAGTCTTGTTGGGATTTTATTGATAAGCGATAAAACAAAATTTTGATAGAAGGTTATTTGGGATAAATAATATTAGCCAAAGTTGTATTAGGTGTAACAAGGATTCCGTACATATAAAGAACTCTGAAATCCGACTTCGTATGAAGAAGTTATGCTTCTTCGAAGTTTTGTGATTAAACCGACATGGCTATGAGTATCGTAAAAAGTGATTTTTGATAGATTGCTTATTAGCCTATGCTAAACTAAAGTTGTAGTAACCATAAAACTGAGAGCTTTCATATAGATAACGTCCAAATCTAACTTCGTATGAGGAAGTTATGATTTTTCGAAGTTTCAGCACAACAATACGGTGTAACAACCAGAATCAAAAAGACCAAGAAAAGAAAGGAAAGGCTCTAAGTCAAGAGTCAACTCGTTGAGTCCAGGGAGGAACTCGACGAGTCGGAGTGGGATCCGGGGCATAGAGTAAGTGACCGACTCGGCGAGTCGGCTAGTGGACTCGGCGAGTCTGGTCTGGGCGAGAAAAACCCTAATCCCGGGGGTTGTGCCCTATTTAAAGAACATTACATGCCTTCCCCAGCCTCTTTACTCCCCTTTTGAGATCCAGAAACCCTAAATCGTGAGTGAGAGCCCTTGGAAGCAATTTAGAGCCTAGATAAGTGATTTTGGTGGAAAGGGGCTTGAAGATCAAGAGGCTTGCTGCAAAGGAGTGGTGTAGATCCGGGATCTACTTCAGTTGGAGCATATATTGGAGGTAATAAGCTGTTTCTTTGGCTTTATTGCAAATAGATCTATCTTATGTTTGAGATTTGGGGCATTTTGGGCATGATTGAGATCTATGTCGAGTTAGAGGCCTAGATCTAAGGTTGCTACCTCAGATCTAGACTTGTGATGGTCCAGAAGGTCATAAAGTTCATGTCAATAAGTTGTTGGTGAATCCCCTTTGTCTTAAACCCTAGCCCTTGAGTGTTTTGGGCCTTTAGCTCCTTGGTTTCACGTAAAGTTTGCAACTTTATGTGGGGGATAGACTGTAGAAGAGTGGATCTATGGATTGGAGCCCCTGCATGGCTCGAAAAGCCACTGTATGGATTGAGAACTGGAGAGACTCAGAGAGTCACACGGGTGTACTCGACGAGTTGTATGAATATGTTCATGGACTCGGCGAGTTGGAAGAACAACTCGGCGAGTCTGTTGAAGATTGCCTAGGACTCGGCGAGTCTGTTCTTGGACTCGACGAGTCAGGTCGCAGAACCCCCAACCTCTTCTGGTTAAGACGCAGATCAGTGAGTTGAGTGGTGACTCAGTGAGTTGGACAGGATGGGACTCAGAGATCGTTGAACTCGACGAGTCCTGGGGTGACTCGGCGAGTTGGGTCGTATTTTGAGCGCTTCTGAGTTTAAGGACTCGTCGAGTCTTCGGGTTGACTCGGCGACTCGAGTCAACTGGAAGGTTGACTTTGACCAGGACTTTGACTTTAACCAGGGTTGACTTAGTTTGACTTCTAGAGTTCAGTTTGGAGCTAAGTGTTTTATTGATATTAGTAGCTCGGGGAGCTAGTGGAGCAGCGATTCAGAAACTGGTCGGACAGCAGCCAGAGGGTTATCAGCAAAGTTCAGCAGTGCGAGGTGAGTCTCCTCACTGTTTGTATGGGTCTACGGCCACAATGCCGACCCATTTAGTTTATGTATGGTAGGAAGACCCAGGGGTTAGCCCTAGGCATTATGCATGAAAGACCAGGAGGAGGCTCCTGGCACACAGTATGTTATTATGAATGGTAGGAAGACCCGGGGGTTAGCCCTAGGCATTATGCATGAAAGA